ATCATTTTTAATAAATTTTTGAACAATTCTTTTGAAAAATTTTAAACTCAAAATGTAACCCTTAAGTGAAAGTCAACATGGTGAAATCATCAGTCTATATAAAAATAATGTACCAAACCACAAAATAACTAAAATTGTTGGTATTCATAGGAAAACAGTGACTCATGTTATTCAAAATTACATTGATAGAAAAGATCTCATTACAAAAAATCAAAGTGGCTGTCCTAAATTAACAAATGATGACCTAATTAAATTGATTGAGAGTATGCCAAGGAGAGTTGAAGCAGTCATTGAAAATAATGGATGGCCTACAAGATATTAATATTATTATTTACTTTGTTTATCGAATTTTAAATTTTTTGGTATGATTATTATGTGCATTTTCAACAATGTTCTTTGAAGAAGAAAAAAAATAGCCAATTTTGGTGATCCTGTTTTGTCAAACAAATTTGGTCAAAATTTTCTTTTTTTAATCATTGGTTTAATAAAAACATTAAAGATGTGAAAATTTGCATATATAATTCAGTGAACCTAAGTTGCAAAATAATGTTTTTTATTAATTATTATTAAGTATGATTTTGTGTAATTTTTGTTAAAAATGCACCTGACTTTTGTCTAGTGAGTGTATAAATAAAAGAAAGATAAATAAATAAATAAAATAATGAATGAATAAATAAAATAAAACAAATCAACTTCAACAACTCAAATGATATAAAGGATAAAAAAATATTCTCACATAATCAATCTCCTCCTTGGTGGATTCTTGCAAAAAATTAAACTATGATCAATGTCAATAATGATTGAGGTATTTTTTTCTTCTGGCACAGACAGTGTGAATGGATATTTCTGTTGTGAAGGAAAGAAATGTCAACCTAAGTGTTTTATAATAATATTTGCATTGCTCATGACATTAATCATCATTGCAACTGGTTTTAACTTCTCAACTTGGTAATTTCATTATAGTGTTCCATGTTGCAATCCAAAAAAGGAAACAAAATGGTTGTAAAGGTGGTTGCAATCATTTTTATATGACGCAAAGATGGTAGCAACC